CATACACATACACATACACATACATATTCATATGTATATGCGCGCGCGTGTGTAAAGATTATTTTAATAATGTGCATAAAACGTATGATGTTACTTACAAATTTTAGATTTCCTCTACAATTGGAAAATGGACAAACAGTTGAATGTACTGTTGCAAAATACTTTTTAGACAAGTACAAAATAAAATTACGCTACCCGCATCTTCCTTGTCTACAAGTCGGACAAGAACATAAACACACATACCTACCACTTGAGGTTTGTTGAATATATATCTTTTTTGCCAGTGATTAAGGGGTCATATCAAGTTGAACATTTAAAGAAATCTGTACTATCTTATTAGTTAATAAGGATCGTTTTCCACTAAAATTCATAATCTGGTTTCTCAAACTTTTACTTTTGAAGAATGATTACAAGAAATATTACCATAATAAATTAAAGAGTTAATGGTATAGTGTGCCTAAAGATGGTAGACAAGTAGTTATGAATTTACTACTAATGAGCCTTAAGACCAGGGGTGACGAACTGTCGCAGGCCACACCTGCCCAGTATCCCTATTTGTTTCACCCTTAAAGCGACCCCTTCCATATTTATATGATTTCTACACTTTATAACATAAATTGTCGAAACTCCATAATTTATACCCACAGTTTCATTTCCTACATTTCCCTGATCCTGAACATAACTGAGGCCAACTACTCACGGTGGGTGAATAGGCTGACTGAGTTAGCAGTTTATGCGGTCCACGACGAGGAAGAAGTTCGTCACCACTGCTTAAGACAATCACGAAGACCGTGTCGTTTGAGATATGGTGAAACTTAGCAATTAACTTAACACTTTTAGTGAACAAAAATGTGATGCTATCAGAATTTCCTTTTAATTCTTTCTATTGAGGGGGTATTCTAGCGTGACAGGTGTCTTCTTACGCTTTCTTACGAATTACTTATATAAACATTCGGTAAAAGTTATTAACGTACGCTTAACGTCATTATATTCACGTATCTTTGAAGACTGATTATACATATTTTCGTCAAATAATATTTAAAAATTACTGCCACACAGCACGTCAAGGTTCGGTGTAATAAAGAAGAGTAAGGAAAGGAAAGATTCTTCAACAATATATAAAGGTGGATATCGCAGCTACCAAAAAGAAAGAAATATGTTGAAAAGTAAAAAAATGGAAAAAATCGAGAAAATCGTCATTTTTTAGCAGTGCTTTGAACTTAAAGTTTCGTTTCCTGTGTTCTTTTTTAACTCTAAATAGTTGTAGAAATCAGAAAAATATAAAAATAAATTCGTGAAAAGTGTAGTTGCGGGGAAAATGTGTTTTTCGTAAAGTCTTGAGTGTTTCTGATAGATTATGACTGCACCATATAAAAGGATTTCTAACATCGTAATTTCCCTGAATATCAGTACGAAATTTTCAAAACAGATTTTTAAAAAGTTATATTTTCGATATATCAAATAAGAAAAAAAATGAACCTTCTTTTTCACCAGTCACATTAGAATATTACCTCAAAAATACCACGTTTCATTTTCTTCTTCTGCCCGCGGAAGAATCTTGGAAGAAATATAAGGACATAATAATACTAAATAATGGCCATTTTAAACAAAAACAAACTTTAGAAATAAAGAACGTTCGTTTTATCTTAAAAATGTTGTTTGTGTAGAAAAAAATGAACTTCTTAAAAATAATTTCTTATAATTATATTATATACATATTTTTATTTTATCTGGTATATCCTGTTACAATGATATGTAAACAGAGGAACCTTAATATTTATTGTTCCTGAGTAAGTATGCATATAATATTTAACTATGAATGTATTAGGTCTGTAACATTGTTGCTGGACAACGTTGCATCAAGAAATTGACCGATATGCAGACGTCTACTATGATAAAAGCGACAGCCCGTTCTGCCCCTGATCGTGAACGAGAAATAAATAATTTGGTTAAAAGAGCTGACTTCAATAATGATGCATACGTTCAAGAATTTGGTCTAGCGATATCAAACAGTATGGTGGAAGTCAGAGGCCGCATTTTAGCCCCGCCCAAGCTACAGTATGGAGGGCGCGTAAGTTCCCTCAGTGGACAGGTGAGAGACTTCCAACTGAATCAGTCAGGTCTAGCCAAATCCCACATTTGCAGAGGCTTTTGTATTATTTTTGGAAGGGATATGTTTCTTTTCGATATCTCACTATATATTACTGTGATAACAGAATTTGATTTATGTCATTTTAACTTTTAGACCATTCTGTCGTTTTTATCAATATTTCTTGTATTTTTTGGGACAAATTCTATAATGTCTCGTTCGGATACTTTATTGTTAGAAAACTTTAAATAGTATCAATCTTAAGCGACTTTATAGCTTAAATTCAATAATTTTATTCGGCTGATTTTAATTAATTTCCTAAATTAATAAAAACATAAAAACACTTTCATAGTTGACTTTCTTCAGAAGCATCGTTTTGAAACTGGAAAACACAACGAAACCATCATATGTCTATATTTATCTACTGTATTCATTCATTTACTTATTTTGACAGTTCAACAACTGAATTTAGGTCATGATAAGGTCAGAGGTTTGACTAAATACTGTAACAGTAAGTGTTTAATTTCATTATAGATGTCAAGAAAGATTGACCGTGTTGATTGATTTCGTAATTTCCGATTGAGAAAATACAAAAGAAATTAAATCTTAGTAACATCTAAAAAATATCATAATAGTTCGAACCAAACAATAAAATCAGTGTCTATTGTTTCAAGGAATTTCTCATGGAAATAATAGCGATATGGAGTAATGTGGATGAAACAAGGAACAAACAGATCTTTAAAAAAGTAAAACGTAATCGAACCAATTAATGTAATGTAATATAAATATACCACATATTAAGACATTGTGGCTTATCTATAACTTCCACAGTTGACTGATTGCACATGTATACATTGCATTTAGGATTATTAAATACACATGGACTGTATTTAGATTGATAAGTAATCTATTTAGATCAAGACATTTTAGAAATCACTATTGGCCTTTCTGTAAACAAATTATTGCTCACTAAGTTACAGAAGCATGAATTAATGGATATCAATTTTGGATATATAATTGCACAAATGTCTAAAATTTTATGCTTTAACAAATTATTATTTGTATCTCCTTTTACCATGAATTTAGTTAAAAATATAACAAGAAGAATTTATATATCTATGCTTGAATGGGTTGTGTAATAAAACACGGTTAAATTTACATAATTAGTGCGATTTACGCCATATTTGGATTCATTTTAATCAGAAGAATTTTAACTATCCGTTTATATTAGAATTATAAAAGTAAGACAAAAATTACCATAAGAATTTTCATTATCGCATGTTTAATTTTTTCAGTTGTGGGATCCTATTGATGTGTGTCTGTTTTTTTTTCTTTTCATTGTACAATTCATTTTCTATCCTTGCCTATTGAGATAAGGCGTCGTTGAATAATGGAAGAAGAAAGTATGTAGATGAGTCTTGGAAAAACCATGCTCTACTGTACTACTCTTCTAAACTTACTCTGGATGCACCGTGTCCGATTATCTGTAGTACGTCCTTTAAAGTGTGATTCTATAAGATAAAATAAGATGAAAATCAAAACGGTCGAAATTACGGTTTCGGCTTCAGTTGCAAATTATTAACGATCAAAAATTTCGCTTAACCTATCGAAAAGCTATCTGCTTATCGATTTGTATGATTTTGAGATACGTTGTAGAAATTTGGAACAACTTTTTTCTAAGTATATTGAGACAAATCAGAATGGCTGAAAATCTGAAAGCATGCTAAGACCGATATTTAATAGTACTGCCAAATATAGCCTCAATATCTATAAGATGTTCCACTTAAAATCAGTTTTTTTTAGAAAGCATAGAAGCGAATTTCGTTCAGATAGTTGCGATTGGTTTAGT